GTCGTCTAATGGCATCATCTTGTTCCATATGCACAATCTGCTAGCGGTAAGGGATGGAATGTTTGTTGGGGAAGGTTGTCCTCTTCTGTGCTAAGGAGAGTTCTATATCTTGTGCTCTTCATTAGCATTTCTGGAAAGATGCCAGTGGACTGGGAACTAATTGTTTTACAGAGCATGTAGGTACACATATAGTGCTACTGTCAATAAAACATAACCCTCCTAGGTGGATGCACTGATTATATGAAGAATGTTTTTACCACTTCCTGAGGCCTATTTATAACCCAAACTGTTTCAAACCTGCTGACAGTATTTCAATTATCAGAGGTATTCCAGTGCATTTAAACAATGCTCAGTGTTAATGGTATTTATCCCATATTTATATAGTGCCTAACAGCCAAACACCTCCTGAAGATCCTCATGAACTTGCATGTGTCGTGTGCAGTGTACAGGAAGTCCTTTAGTTCTGCAGTGAAATTCAGCACTTACCTGCAGTTAGTCTGAATTTGGGAAACAGCGGCAGAAGTACAAGATATTCCTTTGTTCAGGGGATGTGGAGATTGGGAGATAGTGAAGGTGAGGGAGATGGTTCCCAGACTCTTCTCTTGAAGGTGCTGGATCCTCTGGACAGTGACAGCCATCCCAGTGGTCCCAGCTCTGCTCCACTCCTGCCCAGATCTCTCCTCAGCAGAAACCTTGTGTGCATTGCTCCTTCATCCCAGGACAGCGTGACTGCTCTGGGATGTGTGTCTTGAAGACTGATCATAGCTCAGATCCTTTGGACAGCATGTTGAGACTGTCGCAGACAGGGATGTGCTGATGGGGTGGGTTGGCAGCCTGCTCTGGCTGGTGGCACAGGTCACGCCTCCAGCACTGTACCAAATCCTGACCTTGAGAGCCGCACCACTATCTCCATGTGATCTCATTCCCTGCCATGCTGTCCAGTGCTGTGCAGAAAGGCACCTCGTGCTTGCTCCCTCGCGGACTCCTCTGGTGTGGTGTTTGCCTGTGGATTTCCCTTGCAGAGGGAAATCTTTCCTTACTCATGCTTTGGTGGCAGATGCCCAGGGTGGTGCTCTGCCTCACTGTCCCAGGGGCAGCTGGGATGGATGGATGGATGGATGGATGGATGGATGGATGGATGGATGGATGAATGGATGAGCTGGTGTCACAGGCACATGGTGGTGCCTTTGTCCTGAACTTCCCCTCTGGATGCTGTGCTCTGGTATCTGGGATGGAAGCCACCTCCCACCATGATGCTGCCCCAGTGCCTGTCCCTGGCCAAGGCTGCTGTCCCAGGCTTCACTCTCATCTGCCTCCTCCTCTCCAGTCTGTTCACCCCCAAAAATCCAGAGCTGCACTCCATACTGCAGGTGCTGCTGGTGAAAGGCAGGACTGCTGCTCTGTTTGCAAACATGATGTGGTCTCATTATGCACCTGATCTCTGGGTGTGCAAACAATGCATAGTCTGTACTGGCATCACCAAGAACATTTTCCAGGTCATGCCACGTCTTGGATCATTTCATTCCGTGTTGTCACCCACTTCAGCCCAAAACTGCATAAAGTTTTAACTTTGGCGCCGAACTGTGAATAACGTTAGTTTAACCTGGAATTTAAAGCCAGTGTTTCTGTGCTCCAGAGACAGGGTCTCCCTGGCCCTTGTCTACCATGCAGCTAGCAACCAGAATTTTAATTTTATAAGCTGTGGTTGACTAAACCCAGCACTAGGACTATTAGATATTATTTGATTTGGAATAGTGAAAAAAAGAGAAAGATTTAAAGATACACTGCTTTCTCTGTATTTTCTCAAAGTTTAGCTTTCCTATTCAGAGCACAGGTTTATGTTTTCGTTTTCCTTTCTGTGTGGATGATCCTTGCACTTTATGAAAGCCAACATTGTCCAATCTTGATTAAATTGCATGCATTTCTCTGGACAGGTAAATGTAAAGTTGTTGTCACCGAAATTGCTGATCTGAAATTGAGAAGGAAGTTTCCAGCATTAATTGCTAACATGAAATGCCTGTTCAGTACAAGCAGTGTTCTTAACTTCAGTGTTAGACACGGAGGCTGAAAGAGGTATTTCCCTGTGTCAGTTCCACAGTCTGAGAGGTCTGCCTTAAAGCAGCCCAATCTTCTGGATAGACAGCATTTTCTGCACAATCCATCTGTGCTGAAGGATGATGTCTATGATGGATGACATTCTTTGTGAAAAATCTTGTTCACTGAGCATCACCCATGTTGCTGATGGCCAGCATGTGGGTGTCTTTGTGCAGGTCACCTCTATCAGATCTCTATATCTGCCAGCAGATAACTTGATGCAGGGTCTGCCAGAGGAGATCTGGGTGATGCTGTTCCTCTGCAGACTTCTTGGACTGTGAGCCACTGCAGCACTCCTGAAAATCCTGCTGTTCAGGATGCATTTGAATTCTACTCCTCAGAACAATCCTGGCAGCAGGGTTCTATTTTTAATACATTTTCTCCCTCTATCTAGTTTGATGTTGCCATCTGGAGAAAAAAAATCTGATATTTACTGTTGTTCTTGGAGTTCCACCTCCTGGAGTCTTGGGAATACTGCAGACCTCAGCTTTCAGTGCAGAAAAGATACATTTCCAGAACTGACAGATGAAGGAAAAGTAGGAAACCACCGTGAATCTGCAAAAACCAAATTGAAACAAGCCCCTGTATTGCAAGGGTCTTTCCAGGCTGCCAGTCTGAACATTCCTTAAATTTGTGTCATGGCTTTTCTGCCATGGGCAGTAACTTATGACTTCTGCTAAAAATCTCTGCCAAAGGGGAGAAGGAAGAAAACATACCTTGGAGCAGAGGGTTGCATGCTGCTGCGGAGCTGAAGAAATACAGAGTGAATTGGAGTGTCAGGAGTGCCTCAGATCAGGCCTTGCAGAGGGTGTTGCAGTGGTAACCGAACCCAGGGATGTCCCACCTCAGTATGATACAGGCTGTGCTGATGGTTTGGGGTTGCCTGGTCACTGCTGCTGGTGGTGCTGCATGGACAGTCTGCGTTTTCCAACATGGGCACACCACAGCTCAGAGCTCAGCATGGAATGGAGCTGAGCAGAACTTATAGAAAGCTTAGGAAGGGGACAGAGCATGTGTGTTGTGAGTGATCAAAGCAATCTGCTGGAGCTGACACAAGTTGTCTGTTGACTGTCACCATCAGGCAGTGTCCTTATGCTCCCATGTCCTCCCATGTGCAGAGTGTGGGCTAGACAGGTTCTCAGGAAACAGAAATGTGACCATTATCCTTTGTCCTGCCTTTAAATTATGTGTGAAATCATTGATGAGTTGAGGGTTGGCTGTAATGGAAGACTGTTCAGTGCCTTTTCCAGCAATATGTAAGCTCCCAGAAGGTCTTCATGGTGTCACTGTACTGGTACCTACATCTATTAAGGGGATAAAATGAAACACCATTCTGTAGGTCTCATCATATTCTTCATCTTCTCTCTCTTCTGTGAAAGGTATTCAGGAATCTCCAGTACCGAATGGCCATTCTCTCCCGAGCAGAGATTTTCTCCGGAAACAGATGCGAGGAGACCTTTTCACCCAGCAGCAGCTAGAAGTGTTGGATCGTGTCTTCGAGAGGCAACATTACTCCGACATTTTCACAACAACTGAGCCCATCAAACCAGAGCAGGTACTATTGCAAATATTGCGTGTTTTCCTGATATGACTTTTGTTGGCAGAGGTCTGTTTGGTGCATGGCATCAATGGCTTCTCAGAGATACAGATGTCTTGCCAACCTCATCTCAGCCAAGTGCTTGTTAGCCATAAAAGCCTATTTAAAAGTGAAGGAAAACACTTGGTGTGTTTAGGAAGTGTTTGGGTATGAAATTACACCTACTCTGGACCAGTTGCATCAAATGAGTCTTTAAAGAGCATCACAGCTTCTGATGTTTTTGTTGGATCAAAACCAGGCAATGCAGGTAAAAGGGAGAAGACTTGCAAAACCCAATGCCTAATTTTGGTTCATAGTTAGCATGAACACAAATCAGATTTTTGTATTCAGAAATGGCTTATTAGGCATGTAACTGGCCTTTTGCTGAGAGAAACACCCAATTAGTATGTGAAAGCAAATTAGTTGAACCTAGAGATCAGCAACATTTTTGAGGAGGACTTGGCACTAATGTTTTGGGAAGGCTCCATTTTTGCAGTCACAGTACAGAAGCACATGCAAAAACTGATGAGCTATGTCTCTGCATTCTTCTTCTTAGGTGACAGCACTTAATTTAGCTGCTGAGAAAGATGTAGAAGTTAATATGTTGCTTTCAGCACTGATATTGGCCCAGCTTGCTACTTAATGATGTATTTGGCCATTAATCGTGAGTGTTCTTTATATCAGACCTGTTTCTTTAGCAAGGTGGATGAACTTCTCTGACTGCAATCAAACACTGATTCTCCTTGGAGGAATCTGTACATTTGAGGACCAGTGGAGATTCTCTCATGGCAACCTGCTACCATCATGACTCTAGTGAAGGAATGTGCATTAAAATACATTTAAAACAAAAAAACCCACTTGTTCATGCTGAAAGTCCTACGGTAGAGTAGAAATTCCCCATGTCTTTAAGCTCACATCTGCCATTTGTTATTTCTTTGACAGAGACATTTGCTTTCCACTAGCTTCTGCTGGTTCTGTGGTTTCCCTGGTTTGTGTGTGCTGAGGAACTCTGCAGACCTGAACTCGAGCTAGAGAGAGACAGGGAAGGCGCTGGGGTCAGTTGGATTTTCTAAGCGCTCGTTAGGGAAGCCGATCCATCGGTGTCTCTGGCAGGTGAAGTGGCCTTCACGTACCACTAGATGGAGGTTATCCCATCTGTACACGGGCGATCCTGGAGAGGACAGGCTCTGCTCCCGTGCCCGTGCCAGCCCTGCTCAGCGCTGGTCACATAGGCGTTGTGTGGTGTTAGATCTGTCCCTGCATAACTTTTACAGGCCAAAGAAATTGATGCAGAGAAAGCAGTGATGGAAGAGGATCGTTTTTGTTTGCTTCTGTGTTCTGAAGGCTCTGAGTCACAGACGTCTATAGCTGAAGGGAGACCAGTCCAGCAGTGAGTGAATGTTCATCCAGAGAGAAACTTTTGCTGGTTTTACAGGAAGAATGGAGATTTGAACAAGAATGTTGCTTAAGTGTTATCCCACTTGTCAAATGTGGGATATTTGGCTGCTGGCAGAGCAAGGATCTCCCTGGGCCCATGTAAGGAACTATGACTAGAATGGCTCTGTGCAGACAGATTATTACAATTGGAGATGTGCTGCTATTAATTTGGTGAACAGGTTACTCTCTGCATTCTCTGGGAAGTCAAACAAGAGGCTGAGAAATGTGACATTATGAGGTTCAAAAAGTACTTTGCAGAACCAAGGTATTTTTAAGTTTTATTACAAAAGGAGTTTGTCACTGTTTGCTTTCATATAGGTTGGAGCATGGCAGTTTCCTTCTGGAAGGCTTAGCTATGGTTGAGGGCCATGGTTGAAGGCTAGTGGCTCTTTGGGGTTGGTTTCTTCTTTCTGATGGTATGTGATGTGATACTTCAAACATGAGCAGATGTGATCTCTATGACTTGCTGTGGTTCACAAGGAACCTGCATGAACCCCAACCTTACCGAAACAGTCGTGTCTCACCTCCTTGGTGAGCCAAGCAAAGCTGTCATGATGCTTAGCTGAAGTGGAGGAGCTGTCTGCATCAATTAGTGAGACCTAAGAAATCCATAAGAAAGAAAATACTGAGGACATTAATGATGTGCCTTAGATAACCAGAGCTGTCCATTCAATAGATTGCCTTAGGAAAGCAAGACCTGCCTGTGGCATCCAGCTGTCCAGAGAGCTGCTGGACCCCAAAGTGGTGCTCTAGAAGCTAAGTTATTGGTGGATATATGGAGCCTTGAGCTGTTTCTGTAGAGGAAAATATGGATAAGATGCCTCTCCCCATAGAGACAGGATGTGGGGAGAAGACTAGTAGGAACTGCTGACCCACTGTTTATCCATTTTATTGGAAAAGTGATCCAGGAGCAGCAAACCGAATATTACTGAAGTTGCTTGGGCACAAAAAGCTATTGATGTTGCAGCGCTGTTCACCTGAAGAGGTTTCCAGGTATTTTACTGGAAGAATTGCTACTTCTAGACAAGGTAGTTTACTTTTTTCTCCATGTTTTGTGGCTCCTACCTTTTTGTCCATGTTTTGTGGCTCCTCTCTAAGTCTTCCTCCTCACTTGTGTGCTGGGGGCATCCCCTTGCCCATGGTGAGTGGGGAGAGATCCCTCCTGCACAGCACAATGTTTGCAGCCTCAGTGTGCCCAGTTCCCACCTGGGGGCTGGGCCCTGCTGCCTAGAGTCCTCCTGATGCATTTTATGGACAAAATTTGTCCTTTCCTTTTGGGAAGTGTCCATTACCCCTCATGTAGGTAGATGTGCTGATGAGCTGTGTGGGAGTACTTGCACACTGCTGCCAAACGCTCTACTTTGAGTGCTTCCAGTCCATTTCCTTCACTTTTCCATCTTTACGTTTCCCTCAGTTCATTTGTATGAAATGGAGACTCTTGAGTTATTTCTTACCTCAAGACACTCTGTGCTCTTGACAAGCATCATACAAGTTTTCACATCTGCTGTAAGCTATGCCATCTATGGAGAGACCCACCAGGAGTGGAGACTTGTCTTTGGGGAAGGGCTCATACCGTGTTGAGAGAGAAGGCAACCATTGGGCACTGACAGGGATATAGAGAATGGATAGAAATGGTGACCACTGTGTGTGCTGGGTGAAGCAGGGATCGTGCATGGTTCTTTCCAGTAAAGACTGTTGGACTGTGTATGTCGAGGGCAAAAGTGAGGCATCGCCTGCCTCATTTAGGAGCCTAACACCTGGTGGTGAAGCTGTGCACGTGTAGATGTGTGCTCTGCAGCATGGGTGTGTTTCCTGCATGAGAAACACCTGATGGCAGGTGAAGACCCAGCATCTGGGAGCTGGAGGCTGAGGGTCGGCTGTGCGAACAGCATCGAGTCCTTTCATGTCTGTGCATTGTGGGGAGGAACTACAATGTAAACTCAATGCTCTAGAAGAACCCTGCCACCTCCCCCTGATAGAACCCTGCCATAAAAATGAATTATCCTGTAGAGTGACAGACTTTCCCTCACTTTTGTACCCTTTTGTGCTGTTTTTTTTTTTTGCAAACAGCCCCTGATCAATTTGTACTGGCTGCAAATGTTCACAGAAAACTGATTTCACATGTTCCTGGGCATGGGGTTGGAAATGCAAATGGTGGTGTGTTTGCAACACCAGTGTGGCACTGCCATTCTGTGCATGTCTGCTGCCCACTAGCTCTATGCAGCTCCTTTGTTAACAGGGACAAAGCCCATGACTTGAACTCCATGTAGGTCTCTGGTCTAGGAGAAGGAAAATCTTCACAGTGTCTGCCTCCTGGCCTGGCAGAAGTTCCTGTTCTCTGGTTGCTTCTCTGTGTGTGTTTGGCTGTCCATGCTGCCTCCCAGTGTGCCAACTCTGCGGTGAAGAAGCCTGCCCACAGGGAAAGCTGTTGGTGTTGTCAGCACAGGCAACATCACAGATCACACCTTCCTCGGAAGCCAGAGCTTACTGTCACAAGGAACAGCTTTTGACTGCCTGCCCTGAAGATGTGCTGTGTGCCTATGCCTGGGGCAGACAGACACACCCCAGCCTGGCCCCTGCTGCAGGCAGAACCTGCTGTTCCTGGTCACTATACTGACAACTGGGATTTTATCCAGGACTGGCATTCATCCTCTGCATGGAACCACAATACTGTGTGTATTGTGCAGAGCAAATAAACTCATTAGGAGCTGGAGGAACTGGAGGCACTGTCTGTACTCAGCAAACCCCTCTGCGTGGCTGTGAGGGTGATTGTCCTCCAGTGGCTTCCTGCAATTCCAGCCAGAAGGATGGAGGAGTTCTCCCCAGCCCCTGGGAAGCATCTGTGGGCTTGGCTGAACCTGTGGCATCCATTGTGTGAGATGTTGTCTCAAACACATTCACCAGTCAAAGCTTTCCAAGGAGATGCTCCTGGAGACCAAGGCCCAGGAAGCTCAAGGTGTGGGAGGCTAGATGCATGCAGAAAAGCCCCATTGAAGCTGTCAGAGGGTAAACCTGGGGCCTGTGGACCGATGTGCTTGTGATGGCTGTGAGAGTGGGATTAATGCCTCTGTGGGTGAGAGCTGTGGGATGAAGAATGGTTTGGCTCAACGGGAGAGGCAGTGTGTTAATTCCCTCAGAATAAAGAAGAGAATAATCCATGCTGGATTTCTGTCCACAGCAGAAATGGATTCTCTTGTATTTTCAGCTTTGCACATGGATCCAATCGAATACTCATTGAAGCCAAGAGGAATATTTCTATTGACTTCAATAAACTTTAGATCATGGCCATAATGAGGCATAACATGATGTGACCAGATCAACACTATGTAGGTCACCGACTTAGAAGAGAACTTCTTGCCACTAATAGCAGATAATTTCCAGGCCCTTGCTGGTGCTTTCCCATTGCTTTTAGCTAGAACCAAACCAAATATCTGTTCTCAGATTCATATCTGGACCAAATGTACATGTTCTGGGCTCAGGCAGAAACCAATGGCCTAACAAATATATGGTAACACATGTATTTGTGACATGGAGTGCAAGTA